CCCCCCAAGACCATGGCTGGTCCATCTCACTCTTCCCCTGTGCCCCACAGAAGATCCACCGAGCTCTGAACATGGGCATGGAGGAGCAGAAGAGCCGGCAGCTGGGCCTGGAGCAGAGGTCAGGCTGGGGGTGGGCACCTGCCCCCTCCCCTCCTCCTCCTCCTCCTCCTATGGGCACCCACCAGGACCTCTCTGCTCAACCCTTCTACCCCTCCCCAAAAAGGTGCCACCTCCAGCCTGGGCAGGTGCCGGCAGAGGGGCAGCCCTGGAGCACCTTGCGGAAGGAGGGACGGCGGGTGCGCTTCCAGCTGGACAAAGCCCCCCCTGAGGACGAGGGGTCCCTGCAGCCCCCCGGGAATGGGCAGGTGCTGCAGCCCCTGGACAGGGCTGCGGGTGAGATCGAACTGCAGGAGCTGGAGGGGAAGATCCAGGAGATGCGGGAGCAGCTGCGGGCAGCCCTGCTGCGGAAGAGTGAGCTGGTGGCCACGCTGGGCCCGGCCAAGAGCAGCACTGAGGAGCCCAAGGAGTGGAGGTGACACCAGGAATGGGCTGGAAGCTCCACAAACACCCCCCTGAACTGGGCAGAGCACACCCCCTGTCCCAGCTGTGGTGGGAGCAAGATCAGAGATGAGGGACAGGAGGGAAAAGGCCCCTGTGGTGGCCAGAGGGAGGGAGGTGTCCTGGGGCTGCCTCCCTGCCCCAGCTCTGGGGCCTTGTCCCACCCTCCTTGCTCGTCCTGCAGACACGGGGGGCTCAAACGATAGGGTTTTATTTTGGGGAGGGCCCCTGCAGAGCCAGGACAAACTGCAGCACTGGAGCCTCCAGCCACACTGTGTTTCTAAACCATGTAAATAAAAGAGGATGGAAGAAAAAGGAAGACTCACTGTCTCTTCAGGCTGCATGTAAAATGCAGGAAGACTTGGGGCAAGGGTAACCCCTCCTCTCCCCTGCAGCAACACCCCAGCCCAGCCCAGCCCAGCTGCAGGTCAGCACTGATGATGGTGAGGATGATGATGGTGATGAGGAGGAGGAAGGCCTGCAGGGCACTGATGTGGCAGCAGGACAGACCAGGACCCAACTGGGGCAGCAAAGCCAGGCTGATCCCAGACACCAAAGGAGCCACAGAGCTGAACTCGAGCAGGATGGCACCAGCCCCAGCACCTCAGCCCTGTGAGCTCCTCGGCCCAGCAGGGATCCAGCATCCCACCCCTCACCGTGGGTGACTCTGGAGCCAGGACGGGCACGGGGTGAGGGCACAGCGACACGTCCCTCAGCACAAAGGGGCTGCCCCACACCCGTGGCACAGCTGGGACAGGGACTTGTGCTCTGCCACCCCCTCCCAAGCCTTATGGGGCAAGTGGGGTGTCCCCGGGGGGAGCAGCAGCCCCCCGAGTACTAGACTGGCTCTGCAGGTTCTTATTATTATATACAAACACATTTTGTACATTAATTAAATAGAATGAACTCTACTCTTCATTCATCAAATCATTTGGTTTGTTTCCCCCCTTCCCCTCCCACCCACCCGCTCCTCCTAAAAGCCTACGATTATGCTGTGCTCTCGGGCCCATCCCCAGAGGCAGGAGCTGAGGCCCCTTCCCAGGAAGGCTGGTGGCAGGATGGGACACGTTGGTCATGAGCAGCCCCCCCTGCCCCAGAGCAACAACAGGGGTTCAGAAACAGAAAAAAAGGGGAGGGGGGCACACCTGGGTGGGAAATGCAGAGAAAGTGAAGTGGGGCCAGTGAACCCTGTGGTGCTGACAGGGAAACCTGAAACACAAGAGCCCTGGGAGGACTCCAATGGTGCTGGGAGACAAGGCCCAACTCAGGGACCCTGCTGCAGTGCACCTGTCCCCACCCAGCCCTGCCCTTGTCCACCACGTTTCTCCCCAGCATCTCCCTCCTCTCAGCCCACTCCTGCATCCCTCTGCTCTGCCTGCAAGTGTAAACCCCCCCACCGCCAGAGCCCCTGGGGGCAGCTGGTCCATGTCCCACCCCCCCAGCCAAGGGGTCGGGCACATCCAGCTTCACCTCTGCTGCCAGGGAAATGAGGGAAAACTGGCTGAAATGTCCTGGCTTTAGTGTTTCGGTTCCTCGCTAAACAATCTCATGCAACAGTCGAGGCAGGGAAAAGCCAACCTATCCTCTGGGATGGGGCTGATCTAAATGCAAACGTGTCCCCTGGAGGGGACAAGGCACTGAAAAGCAAACTACATCACCCACAGCAGAGCAGTGCAAGGCAGAGCTGCTGTCCTCCTCCCCAAACGTCCCACAGCCACCAACACCACCAACCCCTTCCCAGCAGACATTACTCCAGACCATTTCCCTGTGCCAGAAGCTCCTTCTTCATGCCAGCTCCTGCTTCATGCCATAAGAGGCCAAACTCCCACAGCCCTGCAGAGGAACAGCTCTTCTCCAGGGCTGCCAGCACAGGACTGGGCCCTGCTGTTGCCCAGCCTGGCCAAATGCAGCTCCCCTGGGATGGAAGCTCCAACACAGACATGCAGCTTCTGCCCCCCCAAACCCACGGACTGGACAAGGACAAAAAAAAAAAAAGGGTGAACAGTGTTTTCTGCTTTGGTTATTGCCCAGCTTTGCCCTGGCATGAGCAGATCTAGTATCTGGGGAAGGTCTTAAGCTCCTCTCCTCCTGAAGGAAAAGGAAGTTTACCAGGTTTCTCCCCAGGGTGTCTGAAGAGCTCCCCCCTGTTCACAGGCAGCTGCGATTCCAGTCCTGCTCTGCTGCCGCTACGAGGAATTAATGGGTTAAGGATGATGGTGAAGTGAGAAACAGTAACAAACAAAATCCAAACGCCTTCCTGGCAGTCCAGAACAGGGACAGGGACTCACGACAGGCTCCTCAAGTCTGGCTCCGAGCAAGGTCTGGAGCAAAGGGTACTATCCACTGGTGCTGGGCAGGAGCAGCTTCCCCCCTGGTCCCCAGGAGCACGGCCTAAGGGTCTGTCCTGGCCAGTGTCCTCAGCA